GCAATACAATGTAATGTGATGTAATATGAATCATTTGTGCTAATGAAATAATATTCATAACTTTTAGTTATAAGCTAAGATTTCAAAGTTTGTTGATAGAACTCTTATTCTAGAGAAAAAAAGTAAGCCATTACCCTCATGATTTGACCCAAGACCCAAGAAATTTAATTTGTAAGACCAATGTAGTAAACTAATTTGAATCTAATAATTACCAAAAGCGTTTTAAGATAAAAATTGTTGGCAAAAAGTATCAGCAGTATACACAGTAAAACTACACACAGCAAACCTATGCACAGAAACCATGGTTTTAAAACTTTCACACCAAGATTATGAAGCCACAGTCAAAATGAAATTAAAATCATGGAACATTGTTGCAGATACATTTTAGGGGTTTGATTTGAAAATTTGCGACAGAAAAATTATTTTATCTAAGCAAAAAAACTAATTTACTTGAACTCCTAGAATCCCAAATATTGTAAAGAAGACAAATGCAACAACGACTAAATTACCAATCGGTGCAAGAGAAGCAAGTAAAGTTTCAACTACAATTTTTAAGCCGGGAGCACGACTGATCAATCTAAATATAAAATTTAATTCCTCTCCTTAAAATACTGACATTTTTTAATTAAAACACAAATTTTCATTTATGTTTAAAACCTTACCTTAAAGGACGCAGTGTTCGAAATGCTCTCAAAACTTTAAGAACACCTAATATGTGACTTCGTTTATGAACTATGTGAGTTACAAACAGATCAACAAGTGATGTTAAAACTAAAATAAAATCCATTTTATTCCATCCACTTCGTAAGTACGTTGTTTCTTCTCCAAAATAAAAACCGTCTGCAAAAATCTAAGAAACATTTATTAAACATTAAATAGATGAACAAAGTATTGGCTTTAGTAAATACACAAACAAAATAAGAAATAAATGAAAGCATTTATATTCATAAATAAAAATAATTACAAAACTAAATAAAATGTTACTCTCGAGTCTTTAATACAAGGATGGAGGAGGGGGGGAATAAAAGGCAGGAAGGGGTAATTTTTTTAAAATCTAATTAACAGGATGGGGAGGGGTTAATAAAAGAAGGGGGGTGGGAATTTTTCTAAATTCTAATAAACATGAGGAGGGGGGTTGTATTGATAGTTTATAATTTATAAATCAAAACTAACATTTTTTAGAAAATAAGCATAAACTATAGCATGGCATATTTTCATTCATGACATTTTTCTAGCTGCCATATTTTCATATTATATTACATATAAATGCATATTTTCTAACAGCTGTTTTATCATAATTTCAATAGGATTTAATATATCGATATAAGTTTTATACTTTGGTGAAAAATAAATCAAAAGATCATTTAAAGCCTGTTTACTCTGTAAGTTTATTTTTTTATTGGTGACTGAAATAATTATTTTCTAAATTTTTAAGGTCGATTTTCATTGATTTTTTGATGTTGCATTTATGTCAACATGTCACATGTCATAATGACTTAAATGCAACATGCCTTAAATGGCAAATTTGGCCAACAATGAGTTACATCACATAGCAAAATATGTAAGCCACATAGCAACACATGTAAGCCACATAGTACCACATAGCAAAACATTCAAGCCACATATCAACACATGCAAACCACATAGCAACACATTCAAGTCAAATAGCAACACATGCAAGCCACATAGCAACACATGCAAATAACTTTTGAGGATCAAAACTAATAGCAATTATATATAACTTTATTAATATAATAGTATGAAAAACTTAATCAGAGACTATTCTAGGAAAATAACTTGGGTGGTGATACCTCCTGTACCATAAGGATATATTGATGGAAACATTAGATCTTTAAGAACAGTACTAACTTGTTCCTATAAATGTTTGCAATAAAACTCATAAACATGTCCTCATCTTTGCATCTTTTTTAAATATCTTCCTAATATTGCATATATCACAGTTCTGTATTAGCACTTGTTACTTTTTTTTTCATTTATAATAATAACATCTAATGATAGATTCAGATAGGGAGAAATCTTTTTAACTTCTGCTAGAAGTTACATCAGAGAACAAGCACATTGTATTTCTTGGTGAATAATTTTCAGAATTACCTGTAAATGCAAATTCTTTTGCAAATGTTTTCATCTCTAGCATCAAATTAAATTATTTTATTTTAATCTGTTTGTTTTAAAACCATTTATTGTAATCTCAAATCAGAATTAGATAAAAAATAATCAAGCAAAAAAGATTTTGAAAAAACAAATGTAGGTACATTTGAATTTTGTAGTTACACATTCTTTAGCAAAACTTACCTAAACCACCTTGTACTTAAACCACCTTAAACTTCTTGAACTAGTGTTAGTATAAACAATGTAGTAACTATAATATGAACAATGTAACAATAATCTAATACAAAAAAAAATAATATTTAACCCCTGCAAAAAAAGTATCAATTTATGCTGTAGTAGTGTAGCGGTTAAGTATCCAAATCTTTACAAGCAAAAGGTTTATAACCCACCAGCTTAAGCAGTAACCACCTTGTTCTTTGTGTTTAGGTATAATAGAGTTAAAGGCTGGGTGAATAAACAAAAGCAATTGCTTTTATTCACCATTTTTGGAGTAATTGTTCAGCTTTACATGAATAAAAATTTTAGCAAACTTGCTCAAACTTTTATTCACGTAAAGCTAAGCAACTTACTCCAAAAACACTAAATTCAACAACAACAAAAATCAAATAAACAAAAATAATAAAAATTTGTCATTTGAATTTAAATTTCATTCATAAACTTATACTGTTAGAAGCAGTATTGGAAAACTGTTGGAGAAACCCCATTAAGAGTTGGAGAAACATAGTTAAGCATTTCAACTCTAAAACCCTAAATTTAAACATGTTTATTAAATAACACAACATTCATTTAAAATTTACTGTTTTATAAGCAACTGTGTTTAGTGTGAAATAAAAATAAGAAAAAAGAAAAGTTCTTACTTTAATCATCATTTCAATTGTAAAGACAATAGTGAATGCAATATTGCAATAATCAATTATTAATCTTTCCTAAAAATTGCAAAAACAATAGTGAATGCAATACAAAAATAATATATTAATAATTTCTCATTAAAATTGTGAAAACAATAGTAAATGCAACATTAAAATAATCAATTAACAAACTCTCTTAAAAGTTGTGAAGAATAATAAATGCAATATGACAATAATCAATTATTAATCAAACGGTTGACATCCCAAATAGGTAGAAATGTCAACTTTTTGTTTTAAATAATTCTACTCTCATACAGTTATAAACAGCTTTGTACCCAGCTTTTTCTTGGATATGCCAAAAGTTTAAATTGTTGCATTAGAGCATAAATTTGTCTTATTGTTAAGTTAATCCTAGCTTCACTAAAGTTTAAAATAAAATGTTTTTATTTATTTAAAACAAAAAAAAAAACATTTTACTGAACCCAATGGAGCACTTTGTCAACATCGAACAGCACATATGTAATAAGATGTGAATTAGAATCGGTGAATTAGATTTTTTCCTTTTTAGAAAATTTTTCCTTAATACCTTTTATCTTTTTTTTGAGTTTGAATTAACATCAAGTGTTACAATAAAAACAATTATGATGATGGTGATAGCGATATATTTTGTTTACCTGAGTGATTTTATATCCACTTGTACAAAGCTTACATTTTATACAAAGTATGACAAAAAATCTTATAGCAAATAAATTATACAAAAAAAAAAATTAAAAAACAAAATAAATGAAATAAAAATAATAAATTTAATAAATACATACAATAAAAAAATATATAATATTATTAGTAGACATAAATATGAATAAAATTTTATAAATAATTAAAACTTACTTGAGATCCATCTAATATACTTGGTCGCTCTAATGCCATTATTACACAATTAGTAGCAATAAAAAATAATATGAAGTAATCAAACCATGGATGTTTAACAAGACCATAAACTTTAGCACGACATCTTTAAATAGTGAATTTAATACTAATTATTATTAATACCTTAACTTTTTAATACTTTAATTTAAAAGTATTAATACTTTAATTTTTTAAACTACAAGCAATAAAATAAAACTTCTATCATCATGTAAAATAAAGAATGGAAACTTACTTGTTTTCTGGTGCAAAAAGATAGAGTGACCAACTCCTCCTTTTGTTAAAGAACGTACACCTTTTATCAAAGAACTTTTTTCCTTCAACCTAACAAATTTACAATTTTTAATTGTTTACTTTCTCTTATATAAACAAATAAAATACTCAACAGACAATTTTTTAGTTTAAGGACAATAATCACAATCACCTTGTTATTGGTATCATGTAACCCAGTACTACCTGTCCCATGCCTTGCTGCCTTGTACTGTTCGCTTTGTTAATCGAAGGCCAGGAGAAAAAAACCTAATTAAAGTTGAATCCAAGAGCCCCCAATATTGGGACTCTTGGTTGAGTAAAGACTAGAGATGGTATCTGCAAATCTATCCATCTTGGGCATATAATAACTGATTCAGCTACTGTCTTGAAGAAGACTATAAGCAAAGACTTTAGGGGTAAAGACTTTAGGGGTAAACAAAAATAATTATGTTGACCTTGTACCCCTTCTTCATCTATTAGACTAGCATATACATAAAATTGTGTTACATTGTTTCCTGCTTCATGTCAACTCTTCAAATAAATTTTTTTATTTCCTTGATAGTTGCTATGCAACTATTCCTTTTATCTCCTGATGAGGGTAAAGCTCTAGAACTCAGTTTAATAGTTCTGAGGCCAGCTGGTAAAAAAGTTTTCTGAACTCTATAGTAGCTTTTCAGAGAAAAACATCAACAGCTGAAAAATATCAGAGTATTAACAGTGCCATGTTGCACATGGATGGTGTCCCTGCTAGTGCTTTTGGTGAGCATTGTCAAAGCCACAAAAGGAGCCCTAGGTTATGACTTTGGATTAATTAACAGGACTGAGACAACTGCATTGCTCATTACTTAGAAAGCTAAGCTAAATCTATAAATGAGTCAAGTTCTCTTTAAACTTAAATCATGCCCAAAGTAATCTAAAGTATTAAAAATAAAAAACCATTACATTCATCCAACTCTTTTGAGTTTTACAAATATTTTCGTCTTCAAAGAAACTTTCCATCAGCTGAATCTTACTCGTTTCAAAATTCACCAGACTTGCTTGCTTTTTCTTAGACTAAATCAAATTTGGTTGTTCCTTTTTCAGATATCAAAAATGACAGCAACTATCCTTTGACTTGCATAGACTCCAATAGCCACATGCTTGGCTTGGGCATATACTTATGCATTAATTCACCTATTTGTCAAAAAATCAGGATTGAATCCTTTGACCATTTTTTTATGTGCTTCCAATGAAAAAAGTTTACAATTTTGGGGACCAAAAATACATAATTCAAAATTCACATTACCTATATTTAATATAATAAAGTGTAATTAACAAACTTCAAATTAATTAGTGAAAAAAAAATTAGGGAGGTTATAATAGCAAATACACATAGCTAAAAGCTCACATAACTTATATTTAATTTAACATAAATTTAATTTGTGAAAAGTATGATTATATAATTTAGGGAGGTTTTACTGTAATTTAGGGAGGTTATACCATAATTTAGGGAGGTTATACCATGTAGGTACCATATAAATTACACACACATTATATCATAATTTAGGGAGGTTATACCATATAGATACAAAAACATGCACATTATTATAACCTTTTCTTCTTGTTTTTCTTCTAACTCTGTTTCTTTTTTAGCAATATGGGTTTCTGATGCAAACTTCTTATTATTGCTAAAAAAAAAGACTTTTTTTTCAATAAATTTTAAGTACAAAATACAAAAGAATTCTTATTTTTAGAATTTAAGAATTTAAAAATTGTTATTATTATACAATGGATATTTAATTTTTTTTACCTAAAACAATATATTTTTGCGAGACAATTTGTTAAAAGAACTTTACCTTAACAAAATATCTTTGTGAGACAATTCATTAAAATTTTCTTGACTAAGAATATTAGGTAAGGAGTAGTAATGAATTTTTTTTGAATTTACCATTACACAATTTTCTTTCACATCATTATGCAAAAATTCTCGACTAATTGACTTTAGTTTCAATGGAGAAGATAAAATACCATCCTGAAATTAATAATTAAAAAAATGTAAAAAAAAAGTCAAAAGTGAAGAATTATCTAAATAAAAAATAAACAAAAAAACGAAAACTCTCAAAAAATAAACAAAAAAACAAAAACTCAAAAAATAAACAAAAAAACAAATACAGGTTTCAGCAAAAACAAAACGCCAGCTGTTGTAAAAAAAAATTCTTTAATTATTTGTGTCATAATTTAATAAAAAATTAAGGTTACGGAAAGCTGAAAAAAAAACCTGACACTAAACCTAAATAAACCTATCCAAACACACAAAAGTAGAACCAAATTGCATGTTTAACTTAAAAACATGTTTTATATTTAAATTTTTTCATATATAGATTAAATATTCAAAAAATTTACAAAAATATTTAACAAAAAAAAAACCTAAATTTAATAAAGCCTAAAAATATAACTGCACCAACCCATAACCATTAGCCCATGCATGTACTGCCAAAGTTTTTATATTTCATCAAAATGCCTACTTGATTGTTTACTAGGTTAATACCTATTAGGTTTTTTTTTGCCTTCAGGTACATACATTATAGACATAAATTAATTTATCAGAAAAAAGCAGCATTTGTAAAAATAGATCTATAAATAGATAAAAAATAAAATCTAAAAATAGATTTTGTCCATATCAATTTCCACAATGACCTACAGTATTAAAAAAACATTTGATTGTTTCAGTGCCATGTTTGTCTGCATTTCAATCCCATAATGACTTGTGCAACATAAAATAATTCTATTTTTAGCACTGCAACCCTGTGCTATTAAACTCAAATGAGTAGGGGGAGCAAAATCATATATTTCTAAAATTATCCCGTGCAGATGTTAAAACATTTATAAGCACCCAATTTTTTTCAAGTTTTCCAATTTTTTCATTTCTTTACATTTATGTGATATTTTTTTGATTAAATGGTTATAAAAGATGAGAAAAAAAGTTTTGTTAGAAGAAGATATAAAAGATATTTTGTTACCTTTTTATAACCATAAAGCATAAAAGATATCAAGCTTATAATATGATATAAAAGCTTAACAAGCCTAACAAGCTTATAAAATCATATAAAAAAAAACAAGGTTAAAAAAAATAACATGGTTATATAACATGATATAAAAGCTAGCAAACAAAAATTAAACTCATTTCTCAATCCCCATAATTTATTCTATTAGAGATACTAGAAATGATTAAATTGAATAAATTAGTTAAAATTAAAATAATTAAAATGAGATCCAAGTTTGGCATGTTTGTCTTCTCCATTATATCTAATAAGCTCTCTTCTTACGGTATCAGGCAACACAATTTAAGATTATTGAATCCTCAAAAAATTCTTATTCATCTAATTTATTCCTCAAACATTTGTTTTTTAGAATTTGCTCACTTCATCTTGTTTTCCTGATTCATATAATTTGCAATATTTCAAGTTATCTATTAATCGTTATCTTCCTCCTTCAGTAATTTTCAACTTTATTAATGGTTGCTTAGCAACTCTAATAGTGGTTGCTTGCAGCCTTGTTGGAAGTGAAAATATTAAAAAAAAAAAAAACTTTACATTTAATTGCAGCATCAGTTAATTAAAAAATATGATATTTTTAAAAGCTTGGAATATCCCAATGAATATTCTTCTGTAAGTATCATTCCTGTAAGTATTTGTTATTTTTGTAATTTGTCCTTAAAAATAAGAAACTATATTATTAACTATAGAAGTAAAACCTTAATTCACTTTGTACTATTACATTGCATAGATATATATTAACATGTAAATACATATCACATTGCATTCTCATATTAAGAATGTGCTAAAAATGCTTTGTATTAATTCTCCAAAACAGATTACTTAGTAAAAAAATATTAGTATAAAAACAACACCAAAATTTAAAGAAATAAAAAGTTTAATGTTGAAAATAGTTGTATTAAACTTTGTAATACACAAATAGTGTTAAAATTTATCAATACATAAATAACAGTATCTTTCATGAAAACAAAAACAATTTAAAATCAAATTTTTATATAAGCATAACAATTTATATATAAGAATAACAGTTTTTACACAATTGAATAAGCTCAATTAACTTCCGTAATAAACTTTTTGTTAAATAATATTGCACTTGACTTCTGTCACAATACTTGACTTCTATCACAACACTTGATTTCAATCACAATATTTTGTTGCGTTAGTTTGACAAGCTTCTAACTGATTTTTTTTCACATTAGGGGAATGGTAAATAAATCTTCTTTTTTTTTAATGTTTAAATAAAAATGTTTTTATGATTATTTTTTATTTATTTATGTTATAAACAGGTTACAAAAATAAATATACAACCAAACTAAAAAAATAAAAAATCTTTTAATTTTTTTTTACAAAAAAATTAAGATTTTTTTTTTAATTCTTCTCATATAAAAAATTTCAGTTAGAACTTAGTCAAACCAATACAACGACTTGACTTAAATCACAACACTTGTTTTCGCAATCCAACTAGTTTTGTTGTCTCTTATACCTGATCCACATCTTTAAACTCAAAATGAGCACTTCTGATCTCACCTGCTTGTTCTGAGTAAATTCTATTTCTACTAATACTCTTTAAAAATAGGGGGGAAAATGGTTAATACAAACTTTCCAGGGGAAAAAAACACTTTTAATGTAGTACTAACATACTACATTAACTCTTTTACTCAAAAAAAAAACAACAACAGATTGCACATAAAGTGCAATCATTTGCTGTCATATTGATTTTAAGACAATAAAGTAAAAACTACTTGTGAGAATTTCACAAGAGATCTTGTTTTGTTTTGTTTTTTTGTTAGAAAAATAACCAACAATTACAACAAATAGTCACATTTACTAATAAAATTTTATGAAGAGCAAGTCACAGGTAGTGAAAGCATTAAAGTAACATATGACATTTTTAGTTCCATAAAAACAGATTTAATGATACAAAAAAATTTTATCAGAAAGTACCACCTTTCAAACATTCTTAAACATGCTTCAAACATTCTTAAACATTCAATTACTGGAAATCAAACTTTTTTCAATCACCAATATCATGAGCAAAAATATTTTGTTCTTACTCATTATATTGTTTTATTTATCAGTTGCTTCTAGCAAACCAAGTGCATGATATCCTTCAAACCAAGTGTATGATAACCTTAAAAAATATATACTATTTGAAAACTGTTAAAAGCCAGGCTATATTTTTAATAATAGTTTTCCAAAAGATCTCACTATTCTTATAAATGCCACTTTTGCAAGTTCACACTATTCTAATTAATTTATGCAACTTATGTTTTCTTTGCCATCCAAAAAACTCTCCACAAACAACTATTTTTTTAGGATAATTTTTAATATTGGAAATTCGGTTCCATTCATATTAAATGCAGCAGTCATGACACAGTGGCTAGAGTTCTGGCTCAGAACTAAGAGTTCTGATGTTCAATGCTGGCTCTGGCCAAATAAGTGACAATGATTAGCTAGGAGGTGTGGATTTCTAGTTAAAAGTTCTTCTGCAGTGCTCTGTGATAAGACCCTAAGGGTTTCATGGAACATTTCAATGACCACACACACACATAAAAAAAGCAACAGAAGACTTAGTATTTTGAAGATAAAAAATATCATTTATTGCATTTGAGTCTCATGATTGCATTTGAGTCTCATCTTGATCTAAGGCTGAGCTCAGTTTCTACTTGTTCTCTGGTGGTTCAGAATAATTTAACTATTGTTCTCTTTCAGGTGGTTCAGATCAATTCAAGTATTAGTATTAAAAAAAAATTTCTCAGATTATTTAATTGAATTAAGGCATATTATACTATTAGACATTGTGATAATATGAAATATTGTTGAATTTTTAATACTGTGTTTATAAAGTGAAATATTATATTGTTAGACATTTGATAAAGTTTTTAAAAAAATCAATAACTACTGTGTTTTTCTGTAACAGTAACTGTGTATTAGATATTTACAATAAATATTGTTGTAACTTTACATTTTATTATAGCACTGTTTAAATCAGATTAGTTTATTACATTAAAATTTTATTATTATTATTATTATTATTATTTTATTACCTTGAATGGTTTTTAATGGCTTTAACCCCAAACCCTAAATAAGTAACAAACATATGCATGAATTAAACATGCATTAGACATACATATGACTTATGGACTGTTTAGGCTGCAAACAATAGATGTGTAATTTTTTAAATAGATTTTCAACTAATTAAAAAAAAACACACATCAATATACTTGTAGTCCAAACAACCAATTAATACAACCAATTTAAATGTATTGCTTGCAAATTTACTGCAACATAAACAAATTGTAAAAAATAAATTATAAATGTTCAATATAAGATCATGCAAAAATGCAATGTTCAATATAAGATCATGCAAAAATACTAGTTTGTTAATATTAGCTTGGGTCCACAAGTTCATTATTTAAATTAGAAAAAAAAAATTATTAATTACTGTTTCTGTAGAGAAACCTTCAACAAGAATGGCAACTAGAAGATTAAATAGAATGTAGTTTCCAAGAACCATAATAAAAATAAAATAAATTGATGCCCATTTAGTAGTTCCTCGAACAGCATCATAAAGTACTGCATTCCAATCTTCTTGCGTCAAAACCTTTAAAAAAAGAATATAAAAGAAAAGTAAACAAATTTTTCAAAGTTTTTATTTAAACTCAATATTTTCAATACTTTATAAATTTTAACAAACTTTTTGTAAAAAACCAATTTATTTATTATTTAATTTAAAAAAAGATACAAATACAAAATCAAAATAAAATAATTTACAAAAAAATTAAAATTAAAACTTTTTGTTTAAATTGCTTTAAAAACTCAAAAAAAAAAAAAAAAAAAAAAATCTTTTTAAAAAAAGTAATAAATTTTAATATTGGTACTACCAAGCTTCTTGGTTCAAAACTTAATGAAAATAAAACTTTTATAAAAAAGGAAAAAGAAAATGAGAAAGAATAGTTGAAAAAAGTTGTTTTAAAGAAGAAAAAAAGTTTGTTAAAAAAGTTAAAAAAAATAGAAACTACAAAGATTAAAATTAATAAGAAAAAAGTGTTTTGGGTGACAATAGTGCAAAAGTTCTGGCAATTAATGATAAAAAAAATTGATAATCATTAATTGATAATATTCATTAAGGCCTTATATCAATTTGATTAACTTGACTCCAAGTCAAGTTAATCAAATATTAGTCGTACAAAAAAATAACAGTAATAATTATATAATAAAAACAAGATTATGAAATAAATATTATCATTATTATTTATCATAACTATGTTTCCTCAAACAACACAAAATAGTAGTGTTTATTTTACTGACACCCTAGTCATAATAATAGTGATGTTCATTACCTAGTCATGATAATAGTAGCGTTCATTATACTGACACCTCAGTCATAATAATAGTGGAAGACATATAATGGTATTTTAAAAATATATCATAATATAAATCATAAAAATAAATAATAATATGTAAAAAGTATAAATATATAAATTATAAATATGTTAAAATTTTTTTCAAAAACCTTTCAATTCTTTTATCACCTGAAACACAGTTATTAGCGACCACATTAGGTTATCAAAGTTATGCCGAACAGAACCTTCCTCAAATATCATTTTTGCACCAAATAAATGCATTCCAAGAATTGAACATGTAAATATAAAAATAGAAAGTAAGCCAAGGAAAGTCATGACACTATCAAGAGTCGCTAACATAACTTTAACTTGTTTTTGAAGCATTGGCATAAAGCGTATTAACTTGAAAATTCTCATTAAACGAAATGTTCTCAAAACAGAAACTCCGCCACCTTTGCTTGCCCCAATAAATTCAACAAGACTAAAATAAAAAAAGTTTCTTTAAAAAGAAAAATTAAAGACAAAAAAGTTTTTACAACAAAGTTTAAAACAGTTAAAAAATGTTTATTTTATTTGTATTTATTTCTTTATTCATATCTACTTGGATTTTAAAGCTGCATTCATTTCTTTGTTACAAAAGTTTATACTGTTTCATTAAAATTGTATATATTTCTTTATAACATTTACAATTATTAGAAGAAATCTACCTAATTATAACAATAACTGCATCAAAAACATTGAATGGATCTTTGATATAAGAATAAAAACCATAAGCAGACAGCTTGAAAATGCATTCAAACGTAAAAACAACAGTGAATATAGTATTAAAAACTTCAAGTGCTGCAGTCAACTTTTCCGGCTTAATAAATTATAAAATGCAAGTTAATATACATATATTATATAAATAAATACTTATGCAAATACTTTAAATATTTATAAATAATAATATAAAATAATAACAAAACGTAATAATATTTTATTCTATAAAAAAGAAATAAATAATCAATTAGATAACAAACTATATCAATTAGGAGTTTGATATAGTTTGATATTAGTTCCTGTTTCATAAATCGATGAAGATTTAGTTGAAGTTATGAATTGGTTTTATTCTGATTAATTAAAGGTCACCCACAACATAAAACTTTTAAAATGGTATATAAGTAGTATTTGCAGGCAACAGCATTATAACTTTCTGATGCCTGGAGTTTTCTTGAACCTTATGAAAGTTTCAAGAATTTTCTGGACTGTACTAGATGTTTTTGAAAATCTCAGAAACTGAAACTTTCTATAATTTTCTCGAGTCTTCTAGAAAATTATGTAAAATAGCAAGATTTAGACTACATAAGCTGCCTGGTTAAGCAACACTAAAAATTATATATGAAGCTTTATTTGCTATAAAGTAATCAAATAAGATAAAAGTTTAATAGCACTTATATTTACTATTATTGCTGTTCAGAAAATTAAGTATTTAAATATATATATATATATAAAAGTATTTAAATATATATTATATATATATATATATATATATATATATATATATATATATATATATATATATATATATATATATATATATATATATATATATATATATATATATATATATATATATATATATATATATATATATATATATATATATATATATATATATATATATATATATATATGTATATATATATATATATATATATATATATATATATATATATATATATATATATATATATATATATATATATGTATATATATATATATATATATATATATATATATATATATATATATATATATATATATATATATATATATATATATATATATATACAGTACTGTGAATATGTTTTAGACCACTTACATTTTCTCAAAAAATCCAAGAGAATTCTTCCTTAATATTTATGTTTCGAATTCTATATTATAAAATTATTAAAACACATATATTTCACACAAAATATGAAACAATAACAAACTTTTTAATGTCACACTTCATAAAAAAACCCTTAATATTTACTATGTCCTCCTTTTGCCTTAATCACAGCCGATATTCGCCGGGAAATAGATTTATACAAATTTGTTATAAAATCCTGCGGTAAGTTGTGCCATTCTCTTTGAAGTACTTAAAAACATTCTTCAGCATTTCGGGGAGCATGTTTGACCTTTTTCCTGTCCAAGTAATCCCAAATATGCTCGATTATATTCAAATCTGGACTCTGGGGAGGCCAGGTCATCATTTCCAGTATTCCTTCTTCTGCCATTTCATTTAAATAATTTTTTGCCACTCGGAAACAATATTTTGGGTCATTGTCATGCTGCAGAATAAAATTATGGCCCATTAGTCTCATTCCGGATGGTATAGCATGCTGTCTTAGAATATCCACATAACGTTCCCCGGTGAGTCGTCCCTCTATTTTGATCAGATCACCTACCCCAGATGAAGATAAACAGCCCCAAACTTGTAAAGAGCCTCCTCTGTGTTTAATAGTAGGGTTTAAACACTCGGGCTGATAGGCTTCTCCTATTCTTCTTCGAACATATTGACGTCTTTTCGTTCCAAAAATTTCAAATTTGAACTCATCAGTGCACAGAACCCGATTAAACATTTTCTGGGCCCAATCTTTGTGTTGTTTTGCATATTTAAGTCGTTTTTCTCTATTGCCATGCCGTAATAAAGGTTTTCGAATAGCAACGCAGCCTCGTAATCCTGATTTGAGTAGGTGTCGTCGAATACAAGAAGAGCTAACATTTTTCCCTGTTGCTGTATTAATGTCCTTTGCCAATTCGGTGGATGTTTTTTTCCTGTTTCTTAAAGAAAGGGTTTTTAAATATTTATTGTCATCTTTTGTTAGCTTAGGAGGTCTGCCACTTTTCTTTCTATTTCCAAGGGAGCCAGTTTCTCTAAACTTTTTAATGATTTCTCTAATAGCAGTCTTCGAATATCCTGTTTTGGAAGAAATTTGGCGCTGCGAATAACCTTCTTCGTGAAGCACAATAACTTTCTGTCTCTCTATTAAAGATATTTTACCCATAGCAACACTTAATCTAAAAATGTAAACTAATAACTTTATTAAATTATTTTTAACTATTTGTTTAACTGTATTCATAAAAAATAACAACTTTTTAAAAAATGTACCAAAACCGATTATTATTGTATTAAATTCACTCTATGACTACATTTTATACTGTTAAAAACTTAAATGAACGAATATGAACCTGAACCAGTAAGAAATAAATTGAAAATATTATTTTTATGTATTATTTAGATGAACGCTTGGTCTGCAGTTATTATGACAATTATCGTTTTAACAAATAAACAAACATATCTCTCATGTTACTCATAAATTTTTGTTTATTTATTCAAGATAATATATTCTTTCAACCTTTCTCAAATATTACTTAACTTAAGTATGCTTAAAAAAAAAATACACAGGAAAAAAATTGAAAATACAACTAATTATATAAGTGGTCTAAAACATATTCACAGTACTGTATATATATATATATATATATACATATACATATATATATATATATATATATATATATATATATATATATATATATATATATATATATATATATATATATATATATATATATATATATGTATATATGTATATATATATATACATATATATATACATATATATATATGTATATATATACATATATATATATATATATATATATATATATATATATATATGTATATATATATATATATATATATATATATATATATATATATATATATATATATATATATATGTATATATATATATATCAGTTCTGCAAAAAAAATTTGACACGAAGGGGTTACCATTAACATAAAAATGAGGCCGGCAATTTTTTGCCAACCTCAAACACTTCTAGGTTAGTAGGTAGGTTGGCGCTTTTTTAATTTTTGAAATAACTGAGCCTTTAAAACTTCTTGTTGGTAATAAATTATAAACAACTTCTTGTTGGTAATAAATTATGATTAAACTGGCTATACAGGGGGCAGGAATAAAATTTTAGTGGCCTATTTATCCTATAAACCAAATTAGCAAAATGGAAAAAATTATATGTTTTTTGCTATAACATGTCTCTTTTTGCTATAAAAAAATGTCAAAAACCATAAAGCTTATTGAAAAATGTCGAAAGTGATAAAGTAAAATTCTAAATGTAAAAAAATGCAGGTAAAAACAATAAATTATGAATTAATTAATTATGAATCATCAGATAAAGATGGTCTGGGTCTGAGAGACTAAAATCAAAAACCTCCATCTAATGTAGTAACACTAACACAATACTAATGCATAAATAACTTCTTTTTTTTAATATTCATACATTATTTATGCCATTAGTTTACCTTACAGCTGCCAATGCATTTATAATAACTTATATAGTTTAAGTGCATTTTAAAACTTAGACAATTTCTTTTTTTAGCTTAAATGCAACACTACTTAGCACCTTTGACAACTAAATTGATAACCATCTAAAACTAATAAAACATATTATCAATTCGAAAATTTTAAATTTTTCTAGAAATTATTTACAGTATAGGGTTTTTTTAAAGGGGCTTACTCACAATATATATATATTTTTTGACAAAAATAACAAACCATGTAAGACTAAATTACTATGCTTTATACAAATGCTCAAAGAAATAAATAATCTTAATAAATTGCTTATTTCTTTGACAAATAAACATTCTCCCAAATTTATAATTAACTTAAAGCCCATTTAACTTTTTATTAAAAATAAAAATTATTGTTTATACATGTATTTGTACTTATAATGATCATATACTAAAAATATACTAAAATAAAAATCTACCTCAAAACTTTTGCAAAAAAAAAACTAAAACATTGCTAAAAAAAAAAATTTTTGACCCAAAAAAATGCAAGAAGGAAAAAAGGTGTTTTTTTGCAACTCTAAGCTAATAATATAACTCTAATAAATAATAATAAAAGTAATAATATAAAACTCTAATAAAATAAAAGTTAAATATGAAGATGTGAAGAAAAGTTAAAAATGAAGATGTCAAGAAATTATTTTACTCTACTGTAAAAACTAAAAAAAAATGATTTTTGAAATGTCATCAATTAATGAATAAAAATCAAAACATTAAAAGATTTTTTGAAACTTTTTGTTTTTTTAAAATCAAATTTTTCAAACTTTTAATTGAATAAAAAAATTATTCAATACAAAAACTTAATTATACCAAAAACTATTTTAAAAAATATATAATAAAAAATTAATAATTATAAAAACTATAATAAGAAAGCTATGAAAAAAATTATTGAATATAAAACGATATAAACAATACTACGAAAAAAAAGTAAAAAATTTTTGTATTTTTATAATTAATATAATATAACTAATTTAATACTAACAAAATTTTTTTTTTAATCATTTTTTTATTTAAATCTTTATTTCTTATTAAAACTATAAACATTAAAGAATAAAAAATTGAAACACTTACTTGATTATAATGTTCACAAGCCATTGTTAAAGAGTTTAAAAAAATTGCAATCATAATTGAATACTTAAAAATATTAGATTCACAACAAACTTTGAACTTGTTGCGCATAAGCGATAAAAAATGATTAATTTTTTTTTCTTTATATGAAACATCTGGCTTTAAATTTTCTTTGTCATAACAACCAGCATTTTTACATTCTAAATAGTCCTCATCAATTTCTTCTTCACTTAAACTATGATCCACAAGACTTTGATATACAGCATTAACAGAACAATCGACAGAAGATTCAACTTTTGAAACGCTAGGAAACATCGAAATTGCAGTCAAAACTGGTGCGGATGCAATTAACTTGGATTTTCCATGACATATCACCACTGTCTTATCTGGAATAATCAATGAAGCAGTATTTCTCGGTAGCAACATTAGTTGATTAAAGTTTTCTGTTAAACTTTTAATGCATCTAGATTCATGATGATTTTCATCAGGTAGCGAATCATTTTCAGCATCATCTAAATCTTTTTTAACACTTGAACAAAGATGCAAATGGTGGTGATGATGGTGATGGTGGTAATGATGATGGAAATGAACAGTTCCATCTGAGCCATTTTGATGCTTTGCATTTTTTACATTATTTTTGTGAATAAATCTTTGACGCAGCCTCCTATAGCTGTTTCTAATGCTATATTTTGCCAAACTCAAAATTTGGCGATAGCATCCACTATTTTCATTTTCGCTCATTGATGTAAATGTTCCTGGTCTTGCTTTTTTTCTTGCTTCAGCCATAAGAGCTGATTCCCTCTGACGAGTTTCTGAGAACTGAGTAGCAACAACTACTAGACACAGATTTGTTAACAAATAGGAACCAATCTGTTGATAAAAAATATGTTAACATTTTATTATTAATTCACAAAAAATAATACCATATAAATAATACCATATAAAAAATAATAACATTAACACTAATATTTTTTTGTTTTTTCTTAATTTAACATTTATGGCTCCACACTTGTGTGGTTTGAACAGGTTTTCATAATTTCTTATATAAACATGACATTATGTATGGATATACATATGGATATATTTATTTAGCATTGCAGAAAAACCTTACTTTATTTTAATAAGGAAACATGGTAAAATAAAAACAAACATGACTGCTTTAATGTAACAATGGGCAGTTATGATGGAGCAGAAATTTGTGAATTTGTTGGACTATATACTTTATATTTATTAAGTCAAATAATCATAATTAATTTTTTAGGCCTTTATCACAATAAATTATAATACTTAGTACAAAATCTGGCTTAAAGGTCAATAACATTAGAAAGGATATTATTAAACTTTTTTAAAAAAATTGGTTTTTAAACTGAAATAAGCATAAAATTAAAAATTGTGAACTTTCTTGATGTCACATTTAACTTCTCTGAAAATTCATATTTTAATTGGAAATGATTTATTTTGTTTAATATTAACTTAAACAATTCCAAGTTCTAAAATCCCAATTTCAATTTTCATACAGGCTAAATTAAAACTTCTGAAAACCTATGCGATTTCTCTAAACGTATGTACCAAGATGCAAATAAATAAAGTAAATTTCAAAATTTTGAACTTAAATTTGAAAAAACTAGAAAAATAAAATACAAAAAAAACAAAACAGACCTAGAAACATAAAAGAAATATAGCAAAAATGTTTCTACTAACATGGAAAAGTGTTTTTAAAATTGCTAGATAAAGACTTCCCACCCTTAAATAAATTAAAATTTTTAATAAAAATACAATTAAAGTTAGCTACAGTTGCACAAAAAAAGTGGATAGAATTATAAATGGTTACAATAATGCTTTGTTAAACAAAAATAAATTTTAAATGAATAAATTACAAAAAATTATAATTGTAAAAAAAAAAGAATTGGCCAATGAGTGGAAAATGTTTTCAAAAAACAAGATATATAAATGTTGTTTCTTCTAGAAATGTATTTGATAAACGGTATATTGGTTTAACAGAGGGTAAACGGAAAAAGCATTTTGCCAACGATAAGAAATCTTTAAAAAATAAAAAGTATTTTAAAAAAACCATGCTGTCAAAGTACATATGAAAATTAAAAGATAAAAAAATTGATGATATTACATTGATTTAGTCAAATTTACAGCAGTTAAAACATGCAACTTCCCGTAATTTAATTTTTTGTATAAATTGAAGTTTTGTTAATTTGTTCATTCATTTCTGATAAGTCTTTATTGATGAAACACAGTGTAAAATGAAAAAAGTTTGATAAGTATGAATGAGATAAATATCACCAGAAAAAATTGTTTTTTCATTATATTATTAATTTGCTTCATATATGCAAATCACAGTGCAATTCCAACACACAGCATATATACCATTTTATATGCTATTATAATATGTTATAAGTAACATTTTTCTAATATCTACAAATAACATTATTAAAAAATTTTACAGAACCTAAATTTATCATTACACCTTAAATTAGTTCAAATAAGAGCTAGAATATATTATTATTGGTCTAAACCAATCATAAAAGGTTTCAAACTAAATACCAAAAAATTATTGAACTTTTACAGCATTTTGTTTACTTAATTATGTTTAAAAAAGATGGCAACTATGTAATTATGTTTATAAAAGATGATAACAACCTAATTTACTTGCCATAATTATGGAAATTATGTAGAAACATAAATTTGTTAACATACCACAATAAGAGTCAGAAAGTATATCCAAACCCAAGAACTATAGGCATCTTGTAAAAAATACATGATCTCAGACCAGCCTTCTAATGTAATGGACTAAAAATCAAAAACACTAAATCAAAAAAATAGGTTCAGTGTTGGTCATCAACGAAAATAAATCAACTTAAAACTTACTTGAAAAATTGCAATGAACGCATCACTAACACTGTCAAAAGATATAACATTATAATGTGGGTTTGAATTACTTGCATTGCAATGAGTATATAAAAGATTCCAGTTAATACAATCCGAAGTATTATTATTTGAAGATATTAAATTGGAAAAAATTGAAACATTTTTAATATCAGTCAACGTCATGTTTGTTGAGTTTAGCACTGTAAAGAAGTTTAAACTACAATTGTCATATTTTGGTATAAATTTAGAGTTGCAAGAAACTTGACCGCTATTCATAGCAGATGAACATATTAAACTCCAATCATCTTCTTCTGGTAACTTGTAATACCGAGATATACTAAACAAAAATTAAAATGTTATACTTAAAAATATAGTATATGAAAAATTTTATCAGCTTTTTCATTAATTAAACACTTTTTTAATAGCTCTTTTAGCTATACAATAAATTATTATCATTACTTGTATACATATAATCATCGATTATATAATCTATATGTAAAATTTTTATAAACAAAAACAAATATCTTAAATATAAATGTCAAAAGCATTATTTTATACTTTTTTTATTTTTACTTTTTTATTTTCTTATTTTTATTTTAATTTTTTTTATTTAGTTTTTTCTATCCTAAAAAAAAAGAAAAAAGATTGCATTTAAGAAGAATTGTGTGTTGTTTTCGTTGTTGTTGTTGTTGTTGTTGTTGTTGTTGTTGTTGTTGTTGTTGTTGTTGTTGTTGTTTTTGTTGTTGCTATTGTTGTTGTTTGGATTTTTTGTTTTGTTTTGTTTTACTTTTAACAATTTACTTTTAAAGAGACAGCAAGCAACTACAATTCAAGTAAGGAATTATATGGAAATTTTATGGAGTTATATGGAAGTGTTAAGGAGTTATATGGAAGTTTTAAGGAGTTATATGGAAGTTTTAAGGAGTTATATGGAAGTGTTAAGGAGTTATATGGAAATGTTAAGGAGTTATATGGAAGTTTTAAGGAGTTATATGGAAGTGTTAAGGAGTTATATGGAAGTTTTAAGGAGTTATATGGAAGTGAAAAACGTGAAGTTAGGCAGCAAGAAAACAGTTAAGAGAAGACTTGAAACTGTAAATTATAAAATTCAGGAAATAATGGTAATGCAAAAAAATTTCTAAACAATAATGTTTAGGGAAAAAGCTTGATCTTTAGAGCAAGAATCTTTAGAGCTTCGGAAGAGATTAGTTAGAGTAATAGGATGTAACAGGAATGTTGTTGTTTGTGTTTTAGTAGAAAGAATATCTTATCAGTTGAATGCAAATTTACTGATAAGATATTCTTTCTACTAAAACACAAAGTTTGTGTTTTAGTAGAAAGAATAAAAGATGATAGCTCAGTTGAGCAGCAACTGTTGCATAGCAACTGCTTTTAAAAAAGAAAAAGAGACCTTATAATGCAACAGGATTCCTGGTTTGCAGCTATAGAAGATCCAACTACATTCACAAATCATTTTTTGGAACTTGTCTTAAAGATAAAGAGCATCAATAGAAGGATCAGCTCAAATATGACCATGTATTCCAAAGATAAGTAAAAGATTTAGAGATTTTAAGAAGGTTGAGGTCAAATATAAATAATCAAATATAAATGTTAATTCTAGATTCTCAAATACAAATTTAATACAAATATATGCAATCTATATTTCTCAAATACAAGTATTTGTACTTTATGTTAAGAAATGCAAATGCAAGTATTTATATTTTAAAAAAATAAAAACTATTTTAAATTTAATTTTTTTTTTCAAAAACAAATAATTTTAAATATAAAAGTTTTTTTACCCTAGACATAAAATAAATATGTAAATATATTTAAAGTCAGATTTTTTATATTAAGTATTTATTTATTTTCAATTTTTTAAAAGTCAAAGTTTGTTGCATCTGATAAACTTAAGTTTGTTGCACCTGACAAACTTAAGTTTGTTGCACCTGACAAACTTAAGTTTGTTGCACCTGACAAACTTAAGTTTGTTGCACCTGACAAACTTAAGTTTGTTGCACCTGACAAACTTAAGTTTGTTGCACCTGACAAACTTAAGTTTGTTGCACCTGACAAACTTAAGTTTGTTGCACCTGACAAACTTAAGTTTGTTGCACCTGACAAACTTAAGTTTGTTGCACCTGACAAACTTAAGTTTGTTGCACCTGACAAACTTAAGTTTGTTGCACCTGACAAACTTAAGTTTGTTGCACCTGACAAACTTAAGTTTGTTGCACCTGACAAACTTAAGTTTGTTGCACCTGACAAACTTAAGTTTGTTGCACCTGACAAACTTAAGTTTGTTGCACCTGACAAACTTAAGTTTGTTGCACCTGACAAACTTAAGTTTTTTGCACCTGACAAACTTAAGTTTGTTGCACCTGACAAACTTAAGTTTTTTGCACCTGACAAACTTAAGTTTGTTGCACCTGACAAACTTAAGTTTGTTGCACCTGACAAACAATTTGTTCATCAACTGATACTTGTTTACTGTTAGCAAAAAGAATTATTAAAAAAACTTAAATGTATAAAATAAAAAACAGATAATATCATAAAAACCAAAGAAAAAACAACCTACTTATTGTATTCAAGAATACTTGCAACATTTTCTGTTAAATTGTGAAAACATCGATTTCTAAGAATTCCTTGCCAAAGTTGAACCCCAATTATTGCAAAAACTGCAATTATCAGCATAAAAAGTATAAAAACATTTCCAAGCATTGGTAGAGTATCCAATAACAACGTAACAAGGATGCGTATACCTTATTGAAAAATTTCAAAACTTCAAGAGTAAAAAATAAAAGTGTATATATTGTATAAAAATAAGTAACTTCAACAGAACCAAAATCAAACTAAAAAGTTTAAAAGTTATCAATAAAACTAAAAAGAACTTAAAAGTTTTAAAAGTTTAAAGTTTATTATTCAAAAGTTAAATTTTTTTGGTACTAAAAATTTTGATAAATTAACACTTTTTGGAGTATTTTAATTAATAATTTTAATAAATCGTTTCTATACTATTTTTATTTCATTATTCATTTCTTTTAAATCATTTTTATAAGTATTCAACCATAAATCATATATAAAATTAATTTTATGGATTTCCCTCATATAAAAGTGCATACATTACAAAAAAGACATTAACTGTTTCCAGCTACTGCCTTGTAGAAGGCCTCCTAAGCAAAGACATAAGGGGTAAGCAGAATAGTTCTGCTAACCAGTCTTAAACCTCTTTTATATCTAGTAGGTGTAGATGTAAACCTTTTGTTACATTGTGTCCTGCCTCGGATGATCAATGCTGAACCTTTCTGATTCTACTCATAGATTTTTAATTGAGCTTCCTTGATAGTGGCTATGCAACTCTTCCTGTTATCTCCTAATGAGGATACAGCTCTAAAACTTATAGATTTTTATATTATATATTTATCTATTTTCAATTTTTTTTAAATCAAAATTGCACTAAAAATGTTGCACCTAACAAACTCAAGATTGTTGCACCTCTAAACAAGAGCACGAAAATTATTAACTATTTTATATAACAAAAAACAACAAAAGCCATAATTTCATTAGCAAAAATAAAAGGTATTTTTTTTTTATAAAAAATACAACTAGGAGCCCTAGTTATGAGCCCTACTTACAACTTTGTAAGTAGGGCTCATAACCCTTACAAAGTTGTAAGTAGGGCTCATAACTAGGTTTTTTCCCCACACTTCAACCCATTGGAACTCTCTTCCATCTTCATGTTTTCCTAATTTATTCAACCTACAACCTTTCAAGTCTTCTGCCATCTTTTGCTCTGTAACTTTATTCTTTTTTTTCTTTCAGTAGCTCCCAACTTAATAGAACTACTATAAATTACTCCCAAAAAAGCTACAAGCCTATTTGGGAGTAAATCAGAATAAAAAATTTAAAAAAATACTTGAACAAGATATGGATTTGAACAAGACCCACATTTTTCATCAAAATTTAGCATTTAAGTACATTGTTATATTGAATAAGGCTTTTAATATTATCAACAATATCTATTTTCATTTTTTTTATTAGACCTTAATATTATAAAATCATTTAATAAACAAAAAGAGATACCATTTGTCACCTATCATAAGAATCCTAAGTTATGTATGACTTAAAAACTCAGCTAATTTCAAAATATAAATAGATATTTCACCAAAATACAGAGACAATTACTTTAAATTTAACTTACTAGGAACTCTATTTATTGCACGAAGAGGTCTCAAGACTCGAATAACTCTAATAGAGCTAAGAAATTCTCCATCCCCATATGCTAACTCGAAGGTGCTTTAAAAAAATGGTATAGTGTACTCAATAAATATTAGACATTAAAAACTTACATCAATTTGATGAAGAATATCAATTTAAAATTTTACCCAGCAGAAACAATAAATAAATCTAGCCTATTCCACGTTTCAGATAAATACCCTTGTTTTCCAAAAACACCAAAGGCTACCATTTTAATAACCATTTCTAATGTAAAATATACAAATATGCAGGTTTCAACAATTTCCAGAGCTTTGCATGACTGTTTTTGACATTTAACATCATATGGATCAAATAAACCAAGGGTAATGCAGTTCGCAAATATTATTGTCATAGTTAACTTTTCCAGAAATCTGTAACTTTCATTAAGGAATTTAATACAACAGAAAAAGAACATAAATAAAAAATAGAACTAGTAACTATTTTTTTTATACATTTTTTTGTCTAAAAAAAGTTTAAAAACTTGGTGCTTTAATTCACACAAATGTTTTGTAGTCATAGTAACATACTAATTAAAAAATAATTTCATTCACATAAAATATTAATTGATTTATAATATGTTAAAATTTAGAAATATATTTAGTAATGGGTTAGAAAAAAAATTCTAAATTTTAGATGCAGAAATAGTACATTATCAAAAGTTTTGTTAGATATTGCAACCTTCAAACCTGATATCTACATGATAATTTAAACAAATGGCTATCGAATTACTTAAAATTAAACATTAAATAGAAAACCAACCAAAGCACATGGAAGTTGTGTTATTATCAACATAAAAGTTTTGCATTTTTTTTGCAACTTTTGCATCAACTAAAGATAATAGCTTAAAACATTTTAAAAAATGGGGAA